CGTTTCGCAAATCCGTTTCTCTACACCGGAACCAAGCGCAACTTCGGAAATCTTGTTTTTTCTATATATGCTATATGATTGGAGTTGTTGCTCGTCAGTTATATATTAATAGCAATACGAATGCATGTCTTTCAATAGCTTTCCAAGAAAATGCTAAAAACTACTATTTCGTGAACTCCACAAAACCAGCCCTCCACGGCGTCACGTTCTGTTTCTTTTTCATTATCTCTATATAACCCCAAAATAACCCTAATAGGTGCTGACCTTTTTGCTTTACAAGCGCTTGATTCTTGATCGTCTTCTCTTGCTTTGTCTTCGTGGAGGCGCTGGAGGATCGGCAGCGTGCAGCCGGGAGGCGTGAACAAAGCTGCAACGCATGTTCTTTGTGCCCCATGATACTCCAGGTTGCAGGGTGCAGAGCTACAGCCCCAGAAGGGTTGTTGCAACCACTCGTTTGGTGAAGTCGCTTTGGCTCCTGGCATCTTGTGGCTCTGAGGCGTGGCCTCGAGGCCTTGCAAGAGGCACATCAGAATTTGCAACAGCACCACCCTTGGAGCAGCATGGAATGGAGGACTCCTGCCAAACTCTTTGCCCAGGCTGCGAACGGAGGCCGAATCCGAGTTGAAGCAGCTCAGGGCGCAGGCAGCACATGGCAGCACTCCACGCTCTGGTTTCGACATGTTTCGACACTGGCTCCGCGGGTTTGCTACGGCAGATTCGTGTCAGGCAGGAAAGGCTCCCAAAGGCGAGCAGGCGCCCGCAGCCCGAGCCCAAGAGACCTTCAGCACTTGGGATGCGGGAAATCGTGCTGCTTTGCAGCCATGCTGGTGCTTAGGCTTTAACCAGCCTAGATGACTTAGTTTGCTTTCATGATTTTAAGTTCTCGTTTTTTCCTTTCTTGCCATTTGACCAACCTGAGTCTTGGGCGCGAGAGGGTCCGGAGATCGAAGCGTTGAAAGCCCGGTCCTCAGTCTCGGGCTCTTTTATTTGCCACTCGGGGCTTCGAGTCCCGAACCGTTGGGTTGGGCAGGACGCCAAAGTCGAGCTGGCTGAGTTGCTGGCTGAAGCCGATGAGGTTCGCATGCGCTCACAGAATTTCGAAATGACCAATTTAGTACCAGTAAACGTGATGACATATCTTTGGAAGCATAACTAGGCCTAGGCACTCGGCAACTCTGGCAGGTCCGCCTACGTGCCCGTCGCGAGAGCGCACAGCTGGCGCCAACCATGGCATGGTTTTCGAATCTTTCGAGGATTTGCACAGAGGACAAGGACACTGAAGATTTAAGAGCTGTTAGTCATAAGATCTATGCCAGGCATCAGCTGGAAGGTGCCCAGGTGCAGTTCGTTTTGTCACAGACGTGGTTTGGTGTTTGGTTCCAGTGGTTCCCCCGGTGCGGTTCAGGCGGAGAACGTCCGGCTGGGCGGCTCCGGCGGCTCCGGCGGCTCCGGTGCCAAGGCTGAGAGCTTCGCGACATCCCTTTTTGCAGACTTCTCGCAGAGTTCTGAGGGCGCAAACACTTCTCCCAAAGGCGCGCTCTGCTTCACGAAGTCTCTTTGAGCATCGTGTTGCCTCTAAAGCCACTGGCAGGTCCGTCTACACGGGCTGTCTGGAGACGCTGGACAGTGTCAACCACAGAAAGATTCCCGTTTCTGCCACAGTTCCTCCAACTGCCCTCCAAGGTGCGGGATGACAATCCATTTTCGTGAAAACTGTGTGCGTTGCCTGGCTGAAGTTGCAAGTTGTCGAGCCAAGCCATGGCAAGAATCATCATGGAATAGGTCTGTTACTTCGTGCTCTGGTGTCGTGTATTGCAAAGCCAAGCTTCTTGATGATTGGCCCTTTCATCGAGTGGGCTCAGCGCTGTGCCATCTTAAACGACTGATGTACCTGATGAAACATGCATGTCTCTTGCATGGGGTGTCATACTGCTTAATACCCCTGAGCTTTCTCCCAGTCACTGGCAGTCACTAGCACCACTGGCAAGCAGCTGCTTGATGCTTCACTATTACTGCCATGGCCAAGCCGCGGCCTCAGGCACCTCATTAGTCAGAATCCTTCTGGAAGGAGTACGGAAGAAGCTAAGCAGCAACATCGGAATAAAGACACTCACAGCATGCTTTGCACACGTACTATGCACCCGGGTTCGATGGCAGTGGGAGCCCGTGAACCACTCCTCGCATTGCTTGTTGCAGAGGCGATCTACCATCCATTTAACTACCAACTGAAAGCTGTACGAAGACAACTTTTACATGAACTGAACTATCCGCACCGCCGTGGCCTCAACATGTGAGCACAGATGGCCTGAGCCTAAGCCAAGCTTTATACGCCCTGCACAGCATACTCAAAGGCCATGCATACAAACAGCCCGTAACTAACGGTGGCCACGGCTCAAAAGGTGCCGCAGCGGTAGTCGTTCTGTCTGGCTTGTTCATGCACCTCGTCAATGTCGATCGTCGCCGTCATGATGAGAGCGTGATAGTCCTGCTGTCAAGATGCTGACAGACCAACATGCAGGCGTCGCACGCGGGTGAATCGGCGAGTCCATTTTGAATGGCCTTCCCTCAAGTGCTTGCAACTGCTTGCAGCTGCTTGCAGCTGCTTGCGAGTTAAGGCAACTCCTTGGCGTCCTGGAGGAGTCTCAGGCCTGCCCCATGCATAGAGGACCTGAGACCTGTCGCACGGGTTTTCGAAAGGACTTGCGGCTGCAGCATCCGCGCCACGCCCAGCCAAGCAGAAGCAGCTGAAGAAGGATGCCGAAAGTTAGCAGAACGCAAGAAAAGCAGAGAAGTACTGTAGTACAGCAGTATGCTTCTGCCTCTGCGTATCGAACAGCGAAGAAGATCGTCGGATGTCGGAGGATGACCATGGCATGGCTTTTGGCTGAGGCTCCGCTGGGAAACTGAACTGGCCAAGCGCTCACCGCTTCTGCTCCGCTTTTCGACCCCCCCCCCTTTGCCCCATGGCCCACGAACCCGACTCCACGGCTGAGGCGAGGCTGCGATCATCCGGCCACCAGCCTGGCGCCAAGGTCAATGGAGTCAAGCTCTTCTCTGAAAAGTGCCAAGAGGTTCTACTTGCTGAGAATCTCTTGCGATGATTGGCCTGAAGGACTGAAGATGAAAGAAGCGTTAACGGCTTTTGAGCCCCACGATACCCACTTAAGAAGCTTCAATAAGAAATGCTTTTTCAATGCAGGCTTGAGTGGCCTGCTGACGGCTGCGGAGTGCCTGCAACGACATGGACTTCAGCCTGTGGCGTTCGTTAGTCATCCGGTCCGCACCTCAAAAGGTGTTGGCTTTTCTTGGCCTTTGCTGACTTTTGCTGCGCCCAGAGGCCCCCTCGCCTGATGTGTATGTCGATCTCATACGCAATCTCTCCTCCAGCATCCGTCGCTGGGTGACGTCTCTTGCTGGAGACATCTCATGTTGGCCTGCTGGCAGAGGCAAGTAGCAACACATATCTACTATTTGGCTTGGCTGGGTTTCCAGATCCGAGGCTGTTGAGGCCACACAATGGAAGTCCGAGCGCGTGTGTTGTTGCTTGGCGGAGTGTTACCACTTGTTATCCCGAAGCAATTACTTGTTGACACAGCTACCCTAAAAGCAATGTACTTGAAATGCAGCTTTGTACCTTGCACGAAAGATCTGGTGCCACAATTACCAGTGACGTGAAGGATGGGCCCCATCACGCGCACACACGGGACTGGGAGCCAGCAAGTGCCCGCTGGTGTAGGGGCTGGTAGTGCGTAGCTATTGGGTCGTGGTTTTCGGCCATGAAATGGGTAGCTTGCACTTTGCAGTCGAGCCAGAGAAGGGTCAGTCGGTATTACGTGGAAGTAGTGGTGGCGGGGCAGCCGCACCGCTCGCCATTGGAAGCACCCAGCTGGATTGGGACTAAGATGTTCAGTGCGAATCGAATAGGACGACCGCTCCTTCGTGTCCAGCACCCTCGCCAGCCCCTGTAATGTAGTCTGTGCATGCATCCGGTGTTGACCAGTACTGACTGTTGTGTAGTAGGGGCCAAGGGCAGTAAATCTCACAGCCTCAGTTGAGTGCATGTATGTTGATTTGGGTTCAGGGGTTGGATACATGTAGTGGCTAGGTTCAATGCAGAGCAATTCGGCACACTGAACCTGAAACAGGGAAGATCAGACTCTTGAGTAGGACCTGGGATTGAAATTACTGTTGACTCAAGGTTGACCCCACGCGGTGCCGACGTCGTAGATGGGGCGTTGGCAGTGCACCGGCGCAGTCGGAGCCACAGCCATTGGGCGAAAGCTTCCTCGGGTTGCACCGAGCACTCCTTTCGCACGCGGCTGCTGGGAGGGTCTTGCAGGAGGTGTCGGAGAGCGAATTGGGCATCATGATCGAAACCAATTGGCTGGAGCCCAATAAAACTTGCCAGAACCAAGAGGCATTCTCCAAGGCCAAAGACCACAGCGAGCGCATCATGCTTTGTCAAATTGGCTCTGTTCTTTCGCCCATCTTTCACGGCCACTACCCGAAGGGACTCAGCCTTCCCCTCCCTTGCTTCTCTGCAGAAGTGCAGTCACACCTTGCTCACACATCCTTTCTGATGATCTTGCATAGCCATGCTGGCCAGCTGTATGTGAGTCCGAAGGACCTCAAAACAGAAATACTGCACATGCCAGCAGACTCCGGAACGTTGTCAAAAGTCTTGAAATGGCTGTCTCAGCGGGGGTACTGTCCCCCTCCTGTCCATGGCATGGGTGGTTTGCATGTCATCGGCTCCCCTGGGATCTCCAACCAGCAACTAGCAGTGCGGAGTGCTCAACATGGTCTACCACTCAGAGGATTTTGGCACAATGCAGAGGAGGCAGGGGATAGCTGCATGCATGCAGAAGGTTGCCTGCGTCAGTCAGATGGACATCCTGCCAAATCATGTCTCTTTATGCATCCTATGGCCGAAGTTGCCACGCTTTCCTGGATGGATCCTGGCAGCGTATTTATCACGCTTGAGTTTCTGGAGCTTTGTGTCTGCTTGGATTTGCGAATGGACATACAGCAGCTTCTGCTGGGACTGGACAACAAGGGCTCTTCAGGCCACGTTTTAAAGGCGTCCGGTTTGGAAATGGAAGCGAGCAGAGAGAACTGTCGGAGGTCTTCCTGGAGCAGTCTCTTAGACCGAGCAACTCAAAGGAACATTCAGAAACGGGTTCGCCAGGAAGCCGGATACAGTTCCAACAGCTCCCTGGCTGCTTCCGAGCTCGCGGTGGACTTCTTCCTCTGCTTGAGGAGGTTGCACCGGAGTCAAGGAAAGAGACACTCACAGCTCCCTTCTGGAAGGAAACCGCGTGTATAGCCTTGCGTAATCTCGTCATCTGGCCCATGCAACGCTTGGAAGCTTGTTGTTTTTGAAGAAGTGACCTGACCTGGAAGGAGCGCTGAAAGGTGCGAGGAAGCAACGACCACCGCCGCGGCCACCCTCCAAGCAGTCGTCCAGCTGAAGGTCAGCTGTATTGTTTTACATCAAGCAGCCGCACCCTAGAGTTCCCCGGAGCGTGTTCTGTGTGTCCTGCTGCTTGGTACTTGCAGGTTGGGCGCGACAAGGTCAGGCTTTCACCTAGGCGGCTGCGCAAAAGGGTGCATGTGCACAGCAAGCCTAAGAACTGGCTTGCGCCTGCAAGGCTGTCGGAGGATCTTGTGGCAGCCGAAGTGGCAAGAGTACAAGCAGGGCTCGCAATGTGTGATCAGAGCTTTGTGACTGCCTTTTGAATTGTCGGAAAGTCTCAGGCTTTGGGCACCGCTCTTCAACGCAGACCAGAGCCACCTGCACTTGAAGTCTGTCGGAAGTGGAAGGACCGCTCTTCTCGCTGTGAAGGCGAAGCGTGGAAGCAAGGAAGCTGGGGTTGACTTGGAGAAAGATTTGTTTCGGTTCCGAGGCACCCCTGATCCACTGCAAGCTCAGGCGAACGCGAAGCAACGCGAAGCAACCTTAAAAGCTGTCAAGGGAAAAAGTCTGTGTCAGAGAGGCCGCCGTGGCTGCGTGTTGCTTTTGGAGTCGGCCTGAGAGGGTGACAAGCATGAGCCCTTCCTTTCGTGACTCAGTGTCTTGTGCTTGCTTTTTGTGTCTTCTTGTCGTTACCTGACTTGCTGAGGTGGGGCTCACGGATGATGGGGAGGGGAGAAGAATGTCCCATGCAAAAATGGACGCATCCTGCAATTTGCTCGTTGAAACTTCGGGCGTGCCTGTTGTAGGCTCAAGAGATCTCAACAAACTCCCTCACGAAAGTATGCCGTCCCACGTGTAGACCAACCTTGCTTGATGTAGCCCACGTTGCACTGCAATGTACTGCAATCCTTTTCATGCTTCAGCGCCCCGGGTCCTGCCATGGAAGAGGACGCGCCGCGCCGTTTCTTCGGCCCAAGCGAGTGCCTCAGCCTTGCCTCTCAGAGTTTTTGAAGATCTCTCGAGATAAGCTATCCGAGCCATCCGAGTCTCCGAGGCAAGGATGTGGCTGGCGGGGACGTGGGCGGGATTGTGCCGCCGCGGATTGGGGAGCTCTCTGTGAGTCCGCATGAAGCTGATGTGAACAGAGCTGTCCATGATAGCAGAAGCGATCCCCAGCAAAAGGAGCCATTGGGTAGCCTCGACGCAGAAACGCTAATGTCCGTGGCTGCAGACTGAGCTGAAGACGATCCTTCTATCAGCTGTATATGGAAGAGAATGCATTTGTGGGTAGTGCGAGGCTAGAACAGGTCTTCATGGCAACATGAGTTTGCCGGCTTGTTGCTTTTGGAGGTCGGTACCGCTGAACTTCCTGAAGCCTGGAAGCAGGGCTTCTTCTTTGCAGCCACCTTAGACTACCAAGATCCAAAGACGGCAAGCTGAGACAGAGTGAGACCTAGGCAGGCTACCAGCCGTACGGCTTGCAGCAGGTAAATGGAGGAGAGCGAAAGCAAAAGCATGGTCCAAGAACCCACAGCTTGTGCCTGGCGCAGGCCCGTGTGGCGTCATTGCTGTCATTCAGGAGAGACCACCTCCACCTCCACGAATCATGTTTTCCACCCTAGTCAGCAGGGTGCCCTGCTCGAGACGTTACAAAACTCGCTGCCGCTGCCTTTGGAGGCATTCCTGATTCGCTCCCTGCACTCGCGGGTTCCCAGCATCGAGGCCCTCCTTGAGGCACGGAAGATCACGGAAGCTTCGGCGCAATTTTTTGTGACGCTAAAAACTTATAGTAGCACCTATAAGGTTGATGAGAACCTTCGACAAGAAGCCCTGGTGGATGCCATTGCAGAGGCGGAGATTGCGCAGATTACGCAGATGCAGCCGCCAAGGGAGGAGGAGTCACAAATGCTTGCAGCGGCTTGCAGGTGCTGTTCCGAAATGTTGGTGATAACAAGAAGGCCTTGCAAGGATACTTTCTCATTGATCTGCATGAACGCCCACGTGCCAGGCTGTCGTGCTTGTGCCCAGTTCCGCATCAGCTAGCGTTTTGGGCGTGTTGCCTGCTTGGATGCGCAGGGGATGTTTTTCCCCCAGTTGATTGCTGTTTGCCAAGGTCGCAGCTGCGGTGCTTGCAGCCAGCAATCTTCACCTCGTATGACCAGCTGAGATACCACCTCAATCAGAGGTCCGTCCTGGCAAGCCTCCAACAGCGCTGCAGCCCTGCAACAGTGGCAGTGAGTGGCAGTGACAGGCCCTACAGAGACATCTTCTTCAATCCCTCGGGGTGTGGAGTACCGATACTTCTCTTCTCCATGATCTGGACAGAGTTCTCAGCTGCACAGCTGCACGGCTTCAGACGCTTTGAGAAGCATGCTGAGCTCGTGAGGACTCGCGGTGTGGAGGGCTGCAGAGCGCGGGACTTCGATGACCCGAAGACGGGGGCCATGGTGGGTGGACATGGCTACTGCACGCAGGAAGGGGGCCAAGAGAGCAGAGAGGGCGAAAGGTTGTCTGCAGCTGTAAAAAGTAAGAAGAAGTTTTTTGAATTTTTGTCTTCGGCCCCGAGGAGCTGGTGAACTTGATGACTTTTGGAAGGGCCTACAGCAACGTCTTCGATGGAACCAAGCGCCTGGGCAGCGCCAAGGCGCAGAGAAAACTCAAACCGCTTTGCGGAAGTCCTCTTTGTTTTTTCAAATTCGAAAAACTGCAGGATGGCTGGATGGTACTCCAAGGAGCGCCGCGCCACCCCCAGTCACCGCAGTCACCGCAGTCACCGCAGGCACCGCAGGCACAGGCCTCCATCACCTTTGCTTACTCCCAGGATGGCTGTTCTGCCATGGCCCTTCAACCAAATAGGAATATAGGCATCAGTCCGACCCTTCCATCTCGAATGAGCCGAAGCAGGATCATGTGGCTTTTTCCAGCCGGTGCTCAGCCAGTAGCGTTGGGCAAGCTGCCTTTTCCTGGGGACTTAGTCCCTTCATGTGTACCAACTTGGCTTTGAAGGTTCCTCTAATTTTGGCATCAAGGCTTGATGTGTCAGCATGTCCTTTCTTTACAATTTCGACTGAGCTAAAAGCATCCACCAACATGCATCACCTAGCAACTGAGTCAGGAACATCCACCAACAAACATGCCTGCAAAGACGGCTCTGCAGCTAAACATCAAATCCTGTACATCAGATGTGGCATGCGCAAGCTGGTGTTGACTTGTTGTGGTTGCTGTCTTGTCGGATAGCAGCTGCATGTTCTGACGCGGCGTTCTGAAGGGAACGAAATGAAAAGCAGGTGTTGTTAGTCGCTGAAGTTGAGGTGAAAACAAACGAGAGTGTTGGGGGTGAGATGTTTTAGGCCTTTTCATTGGGATTCTTTCTGCTCAAGCGCGGCTGAGGCGCCGGCCCAGCATTGGTTTCCTTTCTCTTTTCGAGGCCTACGCGTGCATCGAGGCTCCTATTTTCGATCGTCAGCGCAGCTGGTAGGTCTTAGTGACCTCTGCAAGCAAAAGCTTGGGCTGAGGTGGGTTCACGGTACAAGGGGCCCACAAGCCCCGTTTGGGTTGTCTGTGCCGAGGCCGATAGTAGAAGTGCAGCACTTGAATACTCCCCATTGTGGTATATTAGAATATTACTATTGGGAGTACATTAGATATTAGGGGGGGTTGAATATTGGGGGAGAGTTGTTGTTGTCTTGTTAGTGGATATTGATGATTTTTGCCAGTCGCACTACACGGTGCTTTTCTCCGCAGATGCCGCCGTGAATCCGCAGGACTGCGACAAGGCATCTCCTGCATGGAGTGCAATGTGGTAGTTTGGCACAATGTGGAGGGCACACGAGGCTCACAATTCGCAGGCGTAGAGAACCCAGCGACTCGTGCGAGTGCATGCCAAGAAGAAGACTCCGCCAGAACATGCATTACCAATCTAAGAACTGACGGCTGCCTATCCAACTTACTTAAGGCCACAGGGCGCAAGACTGATCGCCAACGTCCGCACACGAGTTGTCCTCAACAGTGTGTTGACGTGAGAGCTCTTCTCGAAGAAGGGGATGCAGCGCCCAGCAAACTCCGAAATGTTGGCTTGCGCTCAATAGCATCACGTCGGCACGCATTCCACGCCACTCGGGAAAGTTGGGAAGCTAGATGCAAACAGGCTGCGAATCACCGGCAGGTGCTGGACCTTTTCTACTTCGACCAGCTTGCTCGCCAGTCGGAGCGCATCCGACTAACAGTCCCGGGGCCGAACCTGATCTAAAGTCAGCAGCTGTTGCATGTGGTAACCTAGGTCATCCCCAAGCAGCTTCCTGCGCACCTCTCCACAGGCTTCGAGGCGGATCCAACGGTCAATCTAGGAGCAATCTGCCTTTCCTTTCCTGCAGGAGGCCGAGTCAATGATTGACCGGTGCATTCGGACCAAGTGGAAGGACAGCAAGTCAGAGAAAACCAACACTATGCTGAGGTTAAGATTACATCTAGACAATATAGATCTGTGGATGTTGCTTTTTTGTTGCCATTTTGTTGTTTTGCGCATGTGACGTTCAGGAGGCAAGCGTGGACTGGAATGGGAGCGAGGTGATCCTTTAACAACGGCTTGAAAGCATAAAAGGGATGTGAAAAGAAGAAGTCATCGAAGTCATCAAAGATCTCTCACTAGCTTGAAGCTGAACGACCCAACTGCTGTGAGGAAATGTAGCTGACACGCTTCTTGGCATGTTTTGCGGCAACGTGGGACCTCTTTTTCTCAATTGTGTCAGGCATCCACGGCATGACAGGGCTCGCCCCCAATTGATGGGTTGACAATGCAATCAAGAACTTTTAGACCTACAAGCGCCGCAAACAAAGTGTGTACAAAGCACAAGCACCGCAAGCACGGCAAGCACCGCGATAGCAAAGTGCAGAGAGTGAGCCTGCCGATGGACAAGCTGCCGCCGGAAGCGCCGCCACCTTGTCAAGACCTGTCAAGGTCAGTGAAGACGCCAACAGAAGGTATCTGTTTGTTTCCTTCCCTTTACTTGCCAGCTCTTCTGCCTGTCCCTGCACATGGGCCCTACGCCACCATACTCACCTTAACTCAGTCATGACGTTTTCTGTTGGGATGACACTCTATGTCTCGCTAGTTGCCACTGTCTCTCCTCTCACCGAGGCCTTTGAAACGGACCACTGCGTCGCAGCACGGAACTCGGAAAACTCGGGCCACGCGATTTTGCAGCTTCACGGGAGTCTATCGTGCCTTTCCATCTTGCCATGCATGCAGCAGCTGCTCGAAGACCTAGAGCAAACTGGTCTGCGGCTCTTGTTAAATTTCGAAGATGTCCTGTCCGAGCTAAGCTGTGCACCCAGCCTTCGCGTGTCTTCGTGGCTGCACCGGTGTCAGCCACCGCAGCTCAGTCCAGCCTTAGGTAAGCAGTGATAGACAGCACTTGAATTGAAGCACATTGCTTAGAGAAGATGCCCGCAACGCCCATCAACATGTTTTTTGGATTCGATCCCTCGCAATCCAGATACTCCGCATGACCCTCCCTCTCTATCTATCTTTCTATCTTTCTATCTGTGATAACCTAATCTCCTGGGCTCTCTCTCCCTCTCTCTCTCGCTCTCTCTCTCATTCTCTCTCCGCTAGAAAACTAGGTCTTGCTTTTTAGGAGCACAGTGCTCTGCTCATCTGAACACTCAAAGGTGCTGGGCCTGGTGCTCTCGTGCCTTGGCTTGGCTGTGCATGGCTTGACGGGGGCCCCTTGCCTCAGAGACGCTTGACTTGCGAGATCTTCCGAGGCTGCGGGGGATGTCTGCTGTCACGCGGAGCTCGGAGGCTTCCGAGCTCCGCGAATCTCCGCGAGATTCACTGCGCATACTGCTGCTTGAACTGGAAGTCTGGGAGTCTGGGAGTGTAGTCCTGCAGGCCCTGTGCGACGGGAGGCGCCTTTGCCTGGAGATTCTGCTTTTGCGCTAGCTGCTCGCTTGCTGCTCGCTTTCTTAGGTGGGGGCTTCAGGTGCGCCCGCACTCATCCGACAAGTAGTTGGTGATCTTTTTTGGCAGTCTTGCCACTAGTGCCCGCTGATGCTCTTTGCAGGAGAGTGGATCCTGGAGCCAGTGTGAACCTCAAAGAGATCAGCCAGCTCACAACCACACAGCAGAGCGCGGCATTTTTTAATCCGCGCTTCTCAATTGTGCTTGGGGCCCTTCAGGGAACAGTTGTGCTTTTTGTGAGGCGTTGAGCCACCTCGTGCCGCCACCCCAGTCACAGAATTTGTTAAAGTCAAACGAGCTCAAACAATTGAGGGTGTTTGCATTGGACAGGGTGGTCAACATATGCTGAAAGACAGCTGTGCTCTATTGAAGCGGACGACTCGAACTGATTATAAGGTTCGCCTGACGCGAATGGCCACCGAGTCTGGGCCTGAGCCCAAGTGCGAGAGCACAGCAAAAAAAGGACGATGTGAATTTGTGCATCCTCTGCCCTTCTGCCCTTCCCTTGTCTGAGGCAAGGCTGGGCCACGGAGTCAGCATCCCAGGAGATCGGAAACTCGAAACCTTGATCTTCTGCTCGGCTACTTCTTTTCGTGAGGGTTTCAGCACGATTGCCTCTCATCACAAGGCAAAGGCTGCCTTGCGGACTGATGCCGTCACAAGCACATCACCCAGCAGTCTCCACATGTCACTGAGATGGCCAGATGTGGATGGTGAGCGCTGTGATGACTGCCAAGGTGTCTGAGCTGCTGGATCGCGACATTACACCAGATGACTACGAGATGCGGGGCAAAAGAAGCAGTGAGAAAAGCTGTGATTCAAAACAGAGTGAAAAGCAAGGCTGCTCCAGCTGGACGAAGCGTTAGACCGACCAAGCAAAGCAAAAAACAAGGAGAGCACAAACCTCAGCAGCCTCTGAGCAGCTCAGCAGCTAAACCTTTTGTTCTTTTGTCTGAGGTCTTGCGGAACACCTGCAGACCGTGGCGACGAAAGACGCCTTTTGGCCATCTGCAACAGACGCTCAATTAGGTAACTTCTGCCTGCGAGTTGAGGAGTTTCTGGGCGAGACCTGTGCTGTTTGTCTGCACGCCTTCGAAAGGACCTTGCACCTCCGTCCTCTGCAACGCATAATTCCCGACGCGCTTTAAACTTGGTGTTTACGAATCTGAACGATCTAGCTATTGAAGACACGCAGCCTGTTTTTTGATGTAACTGTCTCAATGCTGCGTACATTGAATTTGCCTTTCTGAAAAAATGCGTTAAATTAAGTGAACCTTGCACGCTGTGCGCTATAGCTTGCGACAGCGCAGTATGAACATCATTTCCACATGGCGACAGTGTTTGCAACAGCTAATTTGCGGCTAGTTTGATTGCGGCTTTGGTTTGCAGGGCGAGGTTGCTCAATTCAGTGCGCACGTGCTTGACGCGTGCATTTGCAGGCTGCAATCTGCAATTCAAATTCATTGTCTGACTCGGAAGACGTGGTCACCATTCGAAGCCAAGAAAATTGTGGTGAGAAGGAATGGTAGGCGACCGTACTGCGTCAGCCTTGAGCTCTCCGAAGAACATTGTCCTATCTGCGGGGCCTTCCACCGACCCAGAGACCGCTCTTAGCTCCACTCTGAGGCTAAGCTCAGTTCTCGTGTGTTCTCAGCTGCTGTGGTCCAGGGCGCTTGCCGACTGAAGCGCGCAGTCTTTTGTGTGGAGTTGCGCCGGTGCCTGCGCATACCTGATGTAGTGCTGAACGCGCGGTGCCCTGATTGAGAAGATGCGCTTGAACATTCATGCCGAGCTGAGCATGTGCCCACCTGCTGGCGTGCTGCCCGCAATCTTGTTGGTTTGTGGGCCGACATGGCCGTTTACCTGCCCGCATCCTATCCGGAGGTAGTCCTTCAGCTTGCCGGCCCAAAGTTCGAGCTCAAGTTTCACGCAGTTCCAGGAACTTGTTGTTGCAAGGCTTGCAACAGGGACTTCAAAACCTTCATTCACTTACGCAAACATGTTGAGGGTTCCAACTGCACGCAGTTGAGTCTCAGCTATGGAGGTTTGCCGACCCGAGCCAGGAGCACGATCAGGCCCCCGCAGCAGCCAACAAACCATCTCTCCAAGCACCAGGCTGTCGCAGACCCGGGTGATGCAGCCATTCACGCAGGATCTAGAGTCTAGAGAATTGCTGAAAGATAGATGCTGCTTATGCTCGCAACGTTTGGCTCTTATAGCACCTGAATAAGCAGCGTAGCCAGGTGATGGACAAGGTCATAATTGACGTTTAGAAAAACTGGATACTTTCAAGGTCATGTGGGCAGTAAAATAACCCCGCGCCTCTTGGTTTAGTCTTGGCAGGTCCCTTAAGTTCTTGCCCTTTTCATAAAAAGCTTTCACCAAGAACCAGAGGAAAATTGCCGATAAGGACACTTCATTATAAGTAGTTCGATCAGAGTGTTTTTCCACTCCAGGTGATGATTTTGAGCGATAACGCTACCGATAACAGGTTTGAGCAGTTGAAACCCCTCGGCAGCCCATGGCACCTGCCAAGGCTGTACGGTGATGTGACATAACGCACTCGCTCGTAACACTCAACCACTGCCTGCCCACAGCTACAGTTCACTTTCGTAGCATGTGCTGAACCTCTTGAATATGTCCCTGAAGAGCCAAAGCCTCAGTGAGAGGAAGTTTTCCGATAACAATATGTTAAGGAAACCAAGCTTGGGAACGGGGTTCTTTTACTGCCCCATGTTACGCAAAGGACAGGCATGTAGATTTTGCGATCAGCTGGTAGATGCCCCAGGTAGACATGTGAGACGGCGCGTGCCTCTTCGTCAGGCCCGCGTTGCGCAGGCCGTCTCCCCAGACCAGCCCAGCAAGCAGTCTCGCCGCGCCCAGCAACAATGACATTCCTGAGCTCGTTCAATAAGGATGTTCCCTCTCATGAGGACACGATTGCCACTCCCCTTTGGAGGTGCTTACTTGTTAATACTCATAACCACTGCTATGCCAATTCAGTGCTACAGTCTCTCCGGTGGCAGATTCCTAGTCTAAGAGCAACTGGGCCTCGAAGTGCAGGTTTTAACAGAGCTAGAACCGTGCGAGTCAGTTCAGATCACTCCTGATTGCGAGTGCAACAGCATCTTGGCATCTTGATGGCTGACAGCACGATGCGTCGAATTTTCTCCTGAACAGATTGCAGAATCTACCGCCTGATCGATTAGGCCGCTGGGAGTCACGAACACAGCTGTAAGATGGCTCTACAGTTGAGGACTCGGGCTCCTCTCCAATGTTCCTTCCTGCAACACAGCAGTGGACTTTGGAGTCCATGCTCAAGCGTAAGCTTTCGTTCACTCCATGATTTGCGCTTACAAGCATGTTGCCTTTGTGGTTCCATGCTTTGCGGTTGGGGACAAGAACTCAGCCCCCCTCACCTTGCCTGACCTTCTTGAACTTCCTCATTTCTAGCTAAAAGCATAGAGACTTCTTGGCGTCTCGGCTTTCGTTCATCACGTTGGCAATTCTCCTCGCTCCGGTCAGTACAGATCATGTGTCAGAGGAGGCAACAAATAGTATCAATGATACTATCATGGCGACGACAGCGCAAAGCCAGTGCAATGTTCAGAGATTT